GGCCGGGCCTTTTTTTTTTTTTTTTTTTTTTAATGGTTCTTAAATGCTACTTTAATGAAGTTGTGTCCTATACAGTAATGGGGGAAGTCAACCTTTGAGAAATGTCTGTTCAAATCTTTTGCCCATTTAAAAATTGGATTTTTTTTTTTTTGCTATTGAGTTATTTGAGCTCCTTATATATTCTGTTGTTAATCCCTTGTCAGATGGAGAGTTTGCAAATATTCTCCCATTCTGTGGGTTTCTCTTCACTTTGTTGATTGTCTCCTTTGCTGTGCAGAACCTTTTTAGTGTGATGTAGTACCACTTGTCCGTTTTTGCTTTGGTTGCCTGTGCTTTTGAGGTCTTAAACAAAAAAACTTTGTCTAGACCAATGTCCTGTTGTATTTCCCCTGTGTTTTCTTCCAGGAGTTTTATAGTTTCTGGGACTGGAATTCTGCTCACAGTCCCGTAGTTTTACTGTGGTCTCTTTGCTTTTTCATTTGCCAGTTTGCATGGCCTTCCAATAAGAATAGCTCCCAATTGCTTGGAAATAGGTTTCTAGGGGGAAAAAAGCACTCCCAGTTAGCAATCACAGGGGGCAGGGGGTATTACATGCATCACCTCATTTAATCCTCAGGATGTATCTACTTTTTTTTCCTTGAGTTGGGAGTCTCACTCCGTTGTCCAGACTGGAGTGCACTGGCATGCTCTCGGCCACCCCAGCTTTCACCTGCTGGGCTCCAGCGATCCCTCCGCCTCAGCTTTCCAAGCAGCCGGAACTACAGATGCGCACTACTGTGCCCGGCTAATTTTTGATTTTTTTATTGTAGAGACGAGGTCTTACCAAGTTATCTGGGCTGGTCTCCAACCCATGGGTTTAGGCAGTTCACTCTCCTTGGCCTCCCAAAATGCTGGGATTACGGGTTGAGCCACTGAGCCCGGCCTGTATCTACTTTTTTTGTTTTTGTTTTTTGAGTCAGTGTCTCTCACCTAGGCTGGAGTGCAGTGGCAGGATCACAGCTCACCACAGCTTCGACTTCCTGGGCTCAGGCAGTTCTTCCATCTCAGACTCCCCAGTAGTTGGGACTACAGGTGTGCACCACCACACCTGGCTAATTAAAACAATAGCGAGTTCTCACTTTTTTGCCTAGGCTTGTCTTGAACTCCTGGGCTCACTCACACAGTCCTCTCTCCTTGGCCTCCCAAAGTGTGGGGACTACAGGCATGAGCCACTCCTTCCAGGCCCTATCTACCTTTTTTCAGATGAGGAGGATCTTAGAGGCTGTGCAGAGAGGTTTGACTCAGGCATCTGACTTGAGACCTGCTTGCCTCTAACCTGTCATAGCTCCCTGGTGACATACTTTTTCTCCAGGTCTTGCTTCCAAAGCTGTGGGAGGGACCCAGCCTGGATGAGGTAGTATTAGACCAACAGGTCCTGGAGTGGCAGACTAAGCTGTGGCATCACTCTCCTGTGGTGTTTTAAAGAAAACTCATCAGGACCTTTATATCTCGAAAGCTGTGTAGCTGTACAGTAGTCCTCTCTGAACTTGAGTTTTGCCTTGCTCTAGTTTGTTACCTGCAGTCAACTGTGGTCCAAAGATATGGAATAGAAATTTTCAGAAATAGACAATTCTTGTGCTTTTCTGCTTGGTCCCCTCTGGGCCACAAATCCTACCTTTGTCCAGGGAATTGATGGTGTCTACACTACTCACCACCAGTCCCTTAGTAACTGACTTGGTTATCAGATAGACTGTTGCAGTTTTGCAGTACTTGTGTTCAGGTCACCATTATTTAGCTTAATAATGGCCCCTAAGTGCAAGAGTACTTATGCTGGTAACTCAGATAGACCAAAGAGAAGCTGTAAGTTACTTCCTTTAAGTAAAAAGGGGAAAGTTCTTGACTTAATAAGGAAAGAAAAGGTTGTATGCTGAGATTGCTAATCTCTACAGTAAGGAGGAATCTTTTACCGTGAAATTTTGAAAAAGGAAAAAGAAAGCCATGCATAGGGTTCCTTGCTCTCTGTGGTTTCAGACATTCACTGGGATTCTTGTACCTTACCCACCTCCCATCAAGTGGGACTACTATTGTGTTGTTTACTTCGTTCTCCTGGAGTGATAACCTGAGTGTGAGGAGGAAGAGAGAATGTACCTTTTTAAAAAAAATCTGATTAGGTCAACATTGAAAGTGACTTTGACTTTAATGGTGGTTCTGTTATCAGAGTTTAACTATACATCTGGTTGATTCTAAGACAAGGGTGGGAGCCTCTGTTAAGGTCTGTGAATCTAAGAATGGTCCCTGCAAGATTCCTTTAAGGCTGGAAGGCCAATTAAGACGTTGAAAAGATAAGCCCCATAGTTACTTAGCATCACAAAGGGCTAGGAGTTGTTTAGAGCACGTCTTTCTTTGTGTCCTGCCTCATTAAGCCACCAAGCCACCACGCTCTTAGGTGCCAGTGAATCTAGATCAAACACAAAGGGTATGGTCTCTTCTCTTTAGGAAAAAGCCTGAGGGAAAAGGTATCAGTGACATTTTATGTAGATAAACTCCCTGGAGTAGTGCTTTGGAGTTTCTTCTCACCTGTCTTCTGTCCCAAGCCACCTGATCCTTCCCCTTCTTTCTCTTTCCAGTATACTTCAACTTTCAATGGGGCTATGTCTAGATAAACCCATTGTAAACTGAAAATATCTTTAAGTTGAAACTCATTTAATACACCTAACATACACTTAACCTACCAAACATTAGAGCTTAGCCTAGCCTACCTTAAACGTGCTCAGAACATTTACATTAGCCTCCGGTTAGGCAAAATCATCTAACACAGATTGTTTCATTAAAAAGTATTGATTATCTCATGTAATTAATTGAAAGTGAAAACCAGAAGAGTTGTATGGATACTCAAAAGTATGGTTTCTACAGTTAGCATATTGCTTTCCTGCCATTGTAAAGTTAAAAAATTGTTAAGTTGAATCTTGAAGACTATATATGAAATTCAAGTGTAGTGTTGATTGCATTAATACATTTTAGGTTTCATTTTGAATTTCTAAAAATTTGACGAATGTAAGCTTTTATGAGTTCCCCCAGACTAATTTTTTTACTTTTTACTTATTTGTAGCCTTCAAGTAATTTTTTTGGCTATCAGACAAAATGCTGATCTGAAGATAATGATCTGATGAAAAAAGCTCAGCCCAGAAGAACTATAGGTCTGGACTGTTAGGATTTCAGTTTTTGCGTAGCATGCTTCCCTGGATTTTGTTGTGTAGTAATATGCCCAACCTTTTCTTTTGAACTTTAAGTCTTGTTCCTTGAAACTCACCTTATTGTTGCACACTTCCTTTTTGAGGTCGTGATGTCTCGGGAGACGAATGTGGAGGGTCAGCAGTCTCAGGGCAGCGCCTCCTCGCAGCCCCATGGCAGCAGTGCCTGTTCACAGACCCAAGGCAGCCTCATCCAGTCCCAAGGCTGTTTCTCACAGCCCCATGGCTCCTCCTCACAGTCCCAGGGCATATCCAGCTCCTCCACCAGCACAGCGGCCACCTCCAGTCAGTCCTCTCACTCCAGCTCTGGGACACTGAGCTCCTTAGAGACAGTGTCCACTCAGGAACTCTGTTCTATTCCTGAGGACCAAGAACCCGAGGATCAAGAACCTGAGGAGCCTGTCCCTGCTCCTTGGGCTCGATTGTGGGCCCTTCAGGATGGATTCTCCAATCTTGGTAAGACCTTTTGTCATATTGTGGAATATTTTGTTCAGGAAAACAACCAGAGAAAGTTGTTTCAGCAGAAGGCTTGACATACTCATGGAATGATTCTGGAATTTGAAGGGGATGAAAGATAGAACCAAAGAGGTAGTGTTGGGTATTGCACTGGTTCTTACCTGTTGTGGATTCTCTTCATTTATTCTTTCAACAAATATTAAGTGGGCATTTGCATTATGCTGTCCACCTGAGGATCTGAAGAGAACTCTGGACCCTCTCCCTAGAATAATGCAGATTCATGCAAACTTGCAAACAAACTTTATTGCCTAATTGCTGAACCTTGACAGTTAAGCCTGCCCCTGTTGTGGTTTGTCACAGCTTCAGAGCATCAGAGCTATTCCTGAATAGGGGAAGCTATTTGTTGATTACCTGTTATTTGTCTGTGTCTCAAAATAGCCAAACTTACAATTTAAGTATGTTGAGCCTTTCTGGCACCCCCTGGTTCCAACAGTCTTTGCCATGAGTATGTTTGAAGTAGGATTTTCTCCTCTTACATTAAAGTGACCTTTTCGTCTAAAATATATTTGAACTTGACATTAATAGGATAGAAAATATTAATTCAAAGAAATAAATGACTAATTCATTATTTTGTACCTTGTTGTACCCTTCTGTTTTATTTCATGTCCAACTTTGATGTCTTGCAAAAACAGCAAAAAATGGAGAAACAATATAGCAGCATTTTGTATATACAACTTTAGGTTTAGAAGTAAACATTTGAAGCCGGGCTCGGTGGCTCAGCCTGTAATCCCGCGCCTTTGGGAGGCTGAGATGAGTGGATTGCCTGAGCCCGCGGGGTTTGAGACCCGCCTGGGCAGGGAGACCTCATCTCTACAATAAATCAAAAAATCAGCCGGGCATGGTACCACATGCCTGTAATTCCGGCTACTTG